CCTGAGGCCTGGCTACAGCAGGCCCAGTTCTCTCCCCTCAGCTGGTGGGGGAGCCCTAAGCCAGCCCCAGCCCTGCTCCTTTCCTCCCCGCTTTCCCCGGCCTGGCCAGGCCCAGCTCTGTCCCCTTAGCTTCCTTTGTTAGCAAAGTGTCAATGCACATGTCCTATTCACTCTTCTGAGTTAATGAAAAATTGAAAGTGTCTACTTTTTTTTTTTAAATAGACTGCAACATAGTTTTAGTCTCACTAGTTTTAATATACTGTGTGGAATTTTGCTGTCTGAAGGATGGAAGTCATAGAATGCCAAGGATGTCAGGTGATCTAATGGATATAAATTTCTTCTTTAAAATGAATAGTTTTTTACTTCCTACCCATCAGTTAGATGTTCCTTTTGCTCGTGAGCTCCAGTTCGTAGGGGCGCAAAAGAGTGCCCAGCATGGAGCGTGCTGTAGATTTTCAACCTTGTTGAGTCGTGATGAAAGGAATCCATTCCCTTGGCACTCCAAAACAGGAAAAGAAACACTGATATCTATGTGAAGATACCAAAGCGCATGGAGGAAAGAATAGTGGAGCAACAGGAGAACATGCTGCAACAGAACTGCAAGTGAAGCAACCGGAGAATGTCTTTTCATCCTTGATGGCTGTGATGGAGCTCATGGTGGCATCCCTGGAGAGGATCCCTCTGACCCCATGCAGAACAGCTTTTCCTCCTCCCCCAGTTGCATAGCCTCCATACCCATAGGCCCCAGGACATGAGAGGAACTCAAGGGAAACCTCACAAACAATCTCCAGGGTCTCAAGAGGCAAAAAGCTGTCCTCCTTATGTTTCTGACCTACTTCCCCTGCCCTCTGGTCCTATCATAAACTTCTTTTCTGTCCCCATGCTGTGTGCTCTCCTTATTCCCCGGGTGTCTGGCTGCTCAAAATTTCCAGCTTGGCACTCTGCCTCAGCCCCCCACCCTAATAGATAACTTTTCCCCTTGCTCTCAGAAATATTACAGAGCACACAGAAGGCTGCTGCCACAAAGGGAATGTTAGTTGACCGTAGCACCCCGCTGCCCGTGGCGTTGAGGAGCTGCTACAGCTCCCACCGGTTAACCATTCACATCCCTGTCAGGGCTGTTCCCCACTCCGGCACTTGGAGTGCAGAAGGTCAGGGCCCACAAGAGAGTTTAAAAACCTTGCCTCTGTAGCCACTGGTTACTAAAACTTCCCATAGTCACAGATTCCTTCGCTCTGAGAAATAAACACCATAAAGAAAGAAAGCTGCCACCATCAAATTATTTTTTATCCCTAAAACAAGGGTCAACGCTTGAAGCCACCTCCAGGGGCACCCCACGTTCTTTTTGCCCCAAAAGAGCTTGAAAAGAGAAAAACAAGCTGCAGTCTGTGGTAGTTGACCCTTCAGTCTGAGGCATGCAGATACAGACAGACAGACCTTCCAGAATACAAGAAGCAAATCATCACCTTAAAAAAAAAAAAATTTTTATTACAAAATAAATGATAAACTTGATAAGGCATACTTTGTTGCTAGACGTTGCAAAGTAACTAAGGAAGACTAATTAAAACACAGAGAAGTCTCAGGAAACAAAGTTTAGATGTTAACTGGGGAGGGAAGGCATAGATTCACACAGAGCAGTTCAAACCAAACCACAAAATAAAGAGAAAATATCCTGAATGTGACTAGATCCACTTTGGAAGTAAGTAAAAGGGAAATAATCTCCTCTTCAGTCCTCTCCTATGCTCTGAATTCTTTAGAGGCATGGTAGTCCTGCCTGGGTTCAAAATCATTCTGTCTCACTCAACCCCTGGTTTTTCTCTCCCATACAAAGAAAGCAGTCAAGGAATCTATATCCAATTCAAATTTCTTGATTGGTTCTCCTGGCCCCCTGGTCAACACCTTTGCTAGCTATCTGTGTTTAACCCCTTGATCACCTGGTGCTGGTCAGCATTCCTGTCCATTACAGTCCCTAATTCTGCACTTGTTCAGCCTGTAGTTGAACTGCTCCTTACTCTGGTCCAGGCTGCCTGTGTATGGCTATGGGAGCAAGGGGTAGGCTGGGTTGCCAAGGATTGCTATTGGCATTTCTGCCTCTCAGATTCTAATTTTCCAGTCTGGGAGAAAAATCCAACATGGAACTTTCTGGAGAGTCTGGAGTTCCTAAAGATGTGTGTGTCGTGCACCTTTCCCAACCATCGCACATTGATAACGGTGAAACAGCCATTGTGAGCCATCAAGAAGTGTCCCTTGCGGTTTATGTACTCTGTAGCAAGGTCGTCAGTGCCAAGATGGGGATGTGCGTTTATTGCTTTCCAAGTCAACTGCAATCTTCCTACTGGGGACACACTACTTCGAACCACAGTGAATTCTTATGTGCAGTGTGAACGTGGACCTTCAACTTTACAGAATCGGGTGGCAAGAAATCAACCTTAATAAATTCAGCCTTACCTCATAGTGTTGACATAACTTCAGAAACACCCAAAAGCTCTGTCCCTCCATGCCAAGCATGCCATAAGAACTTTGTATGTGTTTTTCATAGATATGACTGCCCAGCCATTCTACCCTAGCGAGTGATTTTGCATCTCTACTACCTGCTCCAGGCACCAAAACCAATCTGCCTGCACTGCTGGGAAGGGTTGAAAGTCTCTTCTCATGGCTTTCCTTTACTTGCTCATAAGAAATCCTTTTTCTGTGGGAAAGCAAATCTGTGGATGCTGTGAATTCTGCACACACACACACTGATGCAGAATTCCTCCGGAAGTAACAGAGCAAGTAACGCATTCTAAAACGTTAACCCCTTGTTTATTGAACAAATCAATTTAATAAGCATCTTATTTTCTTTAGATTTACCTTCCTTGTCTTAATTTTCCATGACCCCATGAAATTGTCAAGTTATTCTTAAACCCTAATTAAGCCAGGACAGCAGATGTTTGTGGTGTGAAAAAGCGATAAAGCAAAAAAAGCTTTAAGTTGTTTCAGATCAGTTAATGTGATGTGATTTCTCTTGTTCTGTTTGGTTAGCAAGGGCCGTTTTAGCAAAGATGTTGCCAATTTTCCGGGAAAAACTGCTTGTTAAATGTGTTCTAAGCATATTTCTATGAAAAGCTCTTGCAGCAACTGATCTAGATAAATTGAAGAAGATTAAATATTTGAGAAGCTTTAATTCCCTTCACTTATCATTACAAATTATTGTGCTCAAATACCTATCCTTTACTGAGAACTTCTCTAAAATTTGTGATTAATTGTACATAGTGCAGAACATTTTCCTTCCTTTGGTTCTGTTTTCTGTAGAACTGGTTTCCTCTACTGAAACATAAGTCTGGTGTTTTATTAGCTAACAGCAGTTGGTTACTGCTAATACCTCCTGCTATGTAGATAAATTGATTTATTTTCTTATTCTGAAGCAAAGACTTTTATACAGATATCTACATTTTAACACTTAAAAATTAATGCCCTGTATTAGCCTGCCTAAAAACAAACTGTTGGTTTATTGGTACTTAATCATTATATTCTGTTTTTGCTTTTGCTCATTTTCATCCATATCTTTAAAAACTGGCTTACAGAGTGGCACTGTATAATACACAGAAATTAATTTAAGAGATACACTAACATATATTGATAGGCTTAAATTGGTTTTGTGGCAGTTTATTCCATTGTTTTTACTTTACACAGTGCCAAAACAGTGCTTAAAAAGTAAAACTTCCTTGGGCATGAAAAGTAACTTTTGTTGATGTAACTTTTAGTTTTTAACTTTCACATGATTTGTCTTGAGCACACTTCTCAAATTTGACTACTTATACAAAAATATCTTTTTGTTTTGCAGAGCGACGTAATTGAAAATACTTCAACTAATCTTCGGGCATGCAAATTCTCATTTGAATGGTGGATTAACTGGTAGTAATTTATCATTTTAAGAATAAGACGACATTTTAAGAGTGGCAAAGAACTGGATTTTCACCCTAGTCCAGCAGCTTTGCTGCTCACTTAAACACAGATGAATGAAGACCCCATTCGGAAAAACACCAGGTCAGCGATCCAGAGCTGATGCAGGTATACAGTCTTTTTTTAAAAAAATTGGGTGGTCAAATACTGAATTGAAACACAGAAGTATATGTTATAGTTTTATAAAGTTTTTGTAACTTTCCTTTTTCCTATCTTAGTATTAAAATAGTACATACTTCTGCTCTTGACATCATCCTTGGACTTTATTTTGTTTAAGACATCAACTTGTCAGTAATCCAGTGGAGACTTGCATGTAAATATACCCTGCATTTTAGTTTTGTTCAAGCTTTCATATGGCACACAGACGTGTGAAATTTTGAAAGGGAGGGGGGGGACACACCAAA